CCCTGAACTGTGAATGAGCCTCTGTAGCCTGTTAGCCAACGCGTGACCAAACTGTTCATGGAGTTTCAGAAGGACCTTGCTTTTCTTGTCTGAAGACATGTTTTCGCTCACTGTTAGGATTTCCTCTTCACTTTGATCCTTTGTAGTTTCTTTGTCTCTGATATTGACACAGTAATGTCTAGAACTAGTGAACTCCAAAGGAATGGATTGTTTGAACATCACTGCACTGTCCTTTTCCATGTCTAGAATGGTCCCTGCTTTTTTCAGAGACGTTTTACTCAGCAGGAATGGAATGTCAACTTTGACAACTTCAGTTTCAATATGGCATTTTGTCATTCCTATTTTAGCTGGTAGTTTCACATTTCTTGTGGAATATACCAAGTTCCCATCTCCGAACCGAAATGGTCTGCAACTGGGAGTTTCTGTTTGCATCAGCTGGTTCACCTGATCTTGGGTTAGGCCATCAACATAGTTTTCCAGCCATTTCTCTCCACACACAGTACGGGTACAAGCAGTGTCAATTATAGCTGATCCCAATGATTCAGTCATGAATATCTCTGCGTCTGACATGGAAGCCTTTGTAAACAGTGTAATGTTACATTCCTCTACATTTGCATCTTCAGTTATTCTTGTTAAGTTTGTTTATGGGCACAGTCTTTAGCCCAATGAAATGTGCACTGGCAAATAGCACACCTGGATCTCTTACCAAACTTTTTCCAGTGGATTAGTCCCCGGTAAAGGCTGCTTTAGCTGTCCACTGTGCAATGTAGCGTTCCATTTTCCTCTACCTTGTGGTCTTTGTTTTGTGAAAAACGCCACATCCTGGTTCACTTGTATTCCGTTTAACGAGCCTGCCGTTTTCCCTCTGAAAATCCTTTTAAGAGCCGATTTCGTGGAAGAAAAAGTCAACTCAGTGCAGGCCGTCAGTGCTAGCTGTCTGCTTTTTTCGTCAAGGCCGTGTCTAGTAGCTTAAAAGCTAGCACAGCATCAGGGAGCGTCATACTATACTTTTTCATCCAGTTCTAACGCTGTTCGAAGTCAATTATGTAGTCTGCCATGGGAACTGAAATATCCTTCGCTATGCCATCAAAACAAGGGTAGGCTTCATATGCGCGGTCCTTTTCCTCTTTTAAGGACACGCCGTTCAACTTTGTCATCAATGTTGTCATACCGTCATCCTCGTCCAAATCCTCGGCAGGTATTTCCATCGCTGTTTCATGGGCTCTCCCCTCAAGCCCCAAGGCAACAGCAAGTGCTTGTTTCTTTTTGTCGAGGTCGGTAACCCACGTCCAGATATTAACAATATTTGCTGTGGCATTTGATCGCTTGTCTTGCTTTTGTTTATCTGCTTCTCCCACACGCTGCATCCAGCGTAGTCTGCCGAAGCCTCGATCCTCCGCTGTTTGTTTGGGTGGGTGATTTGCAGGCTGATCAACATCCCGCCCCTCCTGTGACTCATGGTTTGACTGTATGTGTATTCAGAGCCAGTGAGCAACGGACTTTCAAAAAAATAATAAAAACTACGTTAACGTGTGATAAAATAATAGTCAGCGTTAATTAATTGATGTGTTAACGCAATAATAATGCGTTAACGTGCCCAGCCCTACTATATATACACTGCTCAAAAAAATAAAGGGAACACTTAAAAAACACAATGTAACTCCAAGTCAGTCACACTCCTGTGAAATCAAACTGTCACTTAGGAAGCAACACTGATTGACAATCAATTTCACATGCTGTTGTGCAAATGGAATAGACAACAGGTGGAAATTATAGGCAATTATCAATTAGACACCCCCAATAAAGGAGTGGTTCTGCAGGTGGTGACAGACCACTTCTCAGTTCCTATGCTGCCTGGCTGATGTTTTGGTCACTTTTGAATGCTGGCGGTGCTTTCACTCTAGTGGTAGCATGAGACAGAGTCTACAACCCACACAAGTGGCTCAGGTAGTGCAGATCTTCCAGGATGGCACATCAATGCGAGCTGTGGCAAGAAGGTTTGCTGTGTCTGTCAGCGTAGTGTCCAGAGCACGGAGGAGCTACCAGGAGACAGGCCAGTACATCAGGAGACGTGGATGAGGCTGTAGGAGGGCAACAACCCAGCAGCAGGACCCCTACCTCCGCCTTTGTGCAAGGAGGAGCAGGAGGAGCACTGCCAGAGCCCTGCAAAATGACCTCCAGCAGGCCACAAATGTGCATGTGTCTGCTCAAACGGTCAGAAACAGACTCCATGAGGGTGGTATGAGGGCCCGACGTCCACAGGTGGGGGTTGTGCTTACAGCCCAACACCGTGCAGGACATTTGGCATTTGCCAGAGAACACCAAGATTGGCAAATTCGCCACTGGCGCCCTGTGCTCTTCACAGATGAAAGCAGGTTCACACTGAGCACATGTGACAGACGTGACAGAGTCTGGAGACGCCGTGAAAAACATTCTGCTGCCTGCAACATCCTCCAGCATGACCGGTTTGGCGGTGGGTCACTAATGGTGTGGGGTGGCATTTTTTTGGGGGACCACACAGCCCTCCATGTGCTCACCAGAGGTAGCCTGACTGCCATTAGGTATCGAGAGGAGATCGCACCAGCATATGGTCTCACAAGGGGTCTGAGCTTGTGAGACCATATGCTGGTGCGGTTGGCCCTGGGTTCCTCCTAATGCAAGACAATGCTAGACCTCATGTGGCTGGAGTGTGTCAGCAGTTCCTGCAAGAGGAAGGCATTGATGCTATGGACCGGCCCGCCCGTTCCCCAGACCTGAACCCAATTGAGCACATCTGGGATATCATGTCTCGCTCCATCCACCAACGCTACGTTGCACCACAGACTGTCCAGGAGTTCACCTCATCAGGAGAATGCCCAGGCGTTGTAGGGAGGTCATACAGGCACGTGGAGGCCACACACACTACTGAGCCTCATTTTGACATGTTTTAAGAACATTATATCAAAGTTGGATCGGCTTGTAGTGTGGTTTTCCACTTTGATTTTGAGTGTGACTCCAAATCTAGACCTCCATGGGTTGATAAATTTGATTTCCATTGATAATTTTTGTGTGATTTTGTTGTCAGCACATTCAACTACGTAAAGAAGTAGTATTTAATGAGATTATTTCATTCATTCAGATCTAGGATGTGTTATTTTAGTGTTCCCTTTATTTTTTTGAGCAGTGTATATATATATATATATATATACATACACATATATATGTGTATATATATATACACACACACACACACACACACACTCGTCGGCAACTTCATCAGGTGCACCTTGCTTGTACTGGGTTTGACCCCAGTTTGCCTTCAGAACTGCTTAATTCTTCGTGGCATTCTTTCAACAAGGTGTTGGAAACATTCCTCAGAGACTTTGGTCCATATTGACATGATAGCACAGTTGCTGCAGATTTGTCAGCTGCACATCCATAATGTGAATCTCCCGTTCCACTACATTCCAAAGGTGCTCTATTGGATTGAGATTGTGGAAGCTATTGGAGTACAGTGAACTCTCTGTTATGTTCAAGAAAGTTGCAGCTGAAATCAAGAGTTATCAGACCAGGCAATGTTTTTCCAATCTTCCATTGTCCAATTTTGGTGAGCCTGTGCGAATATTAACCTCTGTTTCCTGTTCTTAGCTGACAGGAGTGACACCCGATGTGGTCTTCTGGTACTGTAGGCCATCTGCTTCAAGATTTTACATGTTGTGCATTCAGATATGGTATTCTACATACCTTGGTTGTAACGAGTTACTATTGCCTTTCTGTCATCTCGGACCAGTCTGCCCATTCTCCTCTGACCTCTGACATCAGCAAGGCATTTTCATCTACAAAACTGCCACTCACTGGATATTTTCTCTTTTTCGGACCATTCTCTGTAAACCCTAGAGATGGTTGTGCGTGAAAATCCCAGTAGATCAGCAGTTTCTGAAATACTCAGACCAGCCCATCTGGCACCAACAACTATTTCACGTTCAAAATCAATTATATCCTCTTTCTTCCCCATTCTGATGTTCGCTTTGAACTTCAGCAAGTTGTCTTGACCACGTCTATGTGCCTAAATGCACTGAGTTGCTGCCATGTGATTGGCTGATTAGCTGTTTGTGTTAACAAGCAATTGAACAGGTGTACCTAATAAAGTATATGGTGAGTGTATATAAATAAAAGATACAATACAGTGTAAAAGGTTAAGTACTATTCTGTCCTTTTCCTTGACCAACAGACCAAAGACAACCGAATAGCATGATGACCCTAACAGACAGAACTGGACAATGGAAAACACCCAGCAATTAACAAACAGAAAAACAAAAGTCACCATAAAAAACAAAATGGAGAATATTAAAAGACACAGACACTTGGTATGCCAATTAATAGAGGAAACTGAGCAACTTTGGGAAGAGACACAAACAGAAAGAAATGAAATGTACTACCTGAAGACAAAGACGGAGCAGCAACAGGAGGACATTGACAGACTGATAGCTGAAAAACATGGGCAGAGTTTAATAATAAAAAGACTGGGAATACAGATAGAAAATGTTATTGAGAAACTCGAAGAGAATAAAAATGAAGCCACTCAAGAAAAAATGCAACTTCTGAAAATGCAGGCTGAAATATACCAAGAGAGGGAAACTCTGGAAAGAAAACATAATGAGATCATCAATGAGCGACACAGGTTGGAAATGATTATGTATGACAAGACAAAATCAGAGGAAAGTAAAAAACCCATGGAGCAGATAAAGCGTGAGCAGAAGATAATAGAGAGGTTGATGGCTGACACTGAAATGAACAAAAATAAGAAAATAATGCTTGAAGCAAAGCAGGCAAAAGAACAAATGGAACAAATCATGGTAGCCCTAAAGCAAGAGTTAAAGAGAAATAAAATGGATTTTTTACAGCATAGAAATCAAATCGAACACATTAAACATACTATGAGTGTAACTAACAACAAGATGAAGCAAATGTGGGAAAAAATTCAAAGAGATGTTGAAATGCAGAAAGCCACTGTCCTAGAGATGGAAAGCAGAGTAAGACAGAAAGAAGGAAAAGACACCTTTGACACTGTAAAGATTAAACTCAATAGAATCAAGAGAGAGATGGAGAGTCTTTGGGATGTGCTGGAAGACAGTGAAAACCAACTGGAAGTGACTCTGAGAAAGAAGCAGGAGCTGAAGACAGAGATGGCTGGAATGGAATACATGAAATCTGACTCTGAAAAGCAAAAACAAGACACAGACGTAAGCATGAAGATAACACAGTGGGAAACAGAGTTGAAGGGTAATATGCAGAGGCAAACACAAGCTATAGAGAACATGTTTGCACAGGTCCAGTCTGAACGAGATGAGATAGAAAAAATCAAATCTAAAATACAGAGAGAGAAAGAAAACATTGAGAGAGACAGGCAGTTAGCTAAAGTAGAAATGGATGCAATGAAGTGTATGAGGGAAAGTACTGAAAGGAAAAAATGGGAGCTGGACAGCAAGTTAGAAATGACTAAGAAAGAGATGAGAGAGATGGAAGTGATGCGCACTGAGATTGAAATAAAGAAAAAGGACCTGGTAAAAATGATAAGAATGAACAGGAGACAGAAGGAAGAGATCAGCAAGATAAAGGAAGAGGTTGAACATGCTAAACAAGACATGAAGGAAAGACAAGATGAGACTAAGGGGCAGAAGTCAAAGCAGGTGCTGGAAGTGAACATAGAGGGCAGATTTGATGAGCAGAAGATAAGACTTCAACAGGTTGACAGCACCAGAGAAATAATACAACATACAGAAAATCAGCTTGAGGAAGACAGCATGGAGACCAAGAACAAATTGAACAGTGACATGCAAAGAGTGATTCTTGAAATCAAAGAAATCAGAAATATGCTGCACAGTGTAGGAAGCGATACAGAGCAAATCAGGAGGGACTTTACAGAAGAAAAGAACCAAATCAAATGGATGACTTTTCAAGCAAAGAAAATGAGACAGAAGCTTGACCAACAATTGGAGAAGACCAGGAAAGAGAGGCACGAGCTAGAAATTATGAAGATAAAGATACAACGAGAAAGGGAGGAGTTTGAACAAAAACTGAAAGATACAACAACTACAATTCTGACTATGGGCGAGATAAAAGCTAACATAGAAAAAGCTGCTGTAGAGATGAACAATACCCGGGAGGAGATGATCCAAGCCCAAGGGAAGATGGAGAAGAACAAGGAAGAAGTCAAAACATACACTGTAAGTAAATTTTTGTTTATCTCAATGTTTCTTTTAATTTTTATTTAATCTTTGGCCAGTAATCAGCAGTTTCCACAACACACATCAGAATCAGGAATACCTTATTGATCCCCGAGGGGAATTTTGTTTCAACATCTCAGCCCATCATAGCAGAAAATCACAGGTTTTTATTTAGTAACATGAATAATGGCTTCTTTGTCCATGTATTGTCCTGGGATTCTTAAATGGACCTGAACCATAATTAATATTATTGACAATAACAATGTAATATGTGGATAAGGCTCGAGGTGGACTAAAAGTTAGGGCACAGTCAGTTAAAATGTAGCTTTCACTATTGTTCCATTTCATTACAACTTGCATCTGACCTTTACCCATTCAAATGTTCACATAAAACCTTTGTATAACCACTTACGCATTCGTTGTAAATATTAAGTAAAAAAAATGAACAAAATAGAGACATAACAAAATTATCCCTATCCAGTGGCAAGGGGTGTAATGACTCATAACGCAGACAATCGAGGCAGTTCAGTAATTGAAAAGGTAAAGATACATAAGCTTAGTGGCAGGGGGAGAAAGTTTAAACAGAAATAACTGAGTGTCCACAGGTAAACAGGAATGGGGCAAGAAAAAGTTGCAGGCAGGCAGGTACAGATCCAGAGGAGGCACGGCCTGTACTACGAAGCGAGGTAACTGGCATATCCAGGTAGCTTCAGGAGTAACTTTGTGACTTCGGGCGTAACTTCCCAATTAACTCCTACTACGACAGGTGGATACGGTTTATTCGAGATATGCTGTCATTGCAATTTATACTGCATCTCTAAACTGCTCCGAGCAGGTTATCTTCGTGGTACCTCGATGTTACCCTATCTTCCTGACTAGGCTGTAAGTGTAGGCTACACATTACACATTATTTGTACTCACTGTTTATGATGAGAAGCATGAATACAAATCAAGTGATAGAATATTTTTAGATTTCATCCTGACTTCCACGTGTGCTTTCCACTGTGGTTACAGCTGAGATGATTGTTAGAATAAATTTATTCTTAACGCAAGCACATTACATCCATATTGTGATTTAGGTAGTAGATCCTAAGATCTGTTTCTGGGATGTAGTCCTTGTGTATAATTATCCTAAATGTTTAGATTTACTATTTTACATGTCCAAAAGATATGGAGCCAAAGAGGGGAGATAACCATCCACAAAACCTTTCCAAAATGAAAGTGGTAAATTTACAAGAGTGAAACTTGGAAATTCCCTGAGATGAAAGTCCCAAAAATCCAAAACACTAGGGCCCGAGAACGAACCGTGCAAGGTCCCTATTGAAACTGAAGGGATTATTAGGGCCTGAGCATGAAACATGCGAGGACCCTATTGAAATTGCAAGGATTATTAGTACTCTTGCTGGCAACAGGAAGCGTCAAGTTTTACGCTGTTATTTACTACTGCCAACATATTTGCCTCACCTGCTTCAAAACAGTCTCAGAAGAGCCTTAAGACATTGATGATGCTATGTTGTGAATCTTGTGAGTTTTCGGATAACGGTGTGTCCTTGGCGTTGCGTCAAAGTTTGATGCTTCGCCATGACATAGGAAGTTGTTGTAACTTCACTGTACATGCTCATATCTCTACCAAATTTCACACATTCAATAAGGGTCACGCCCTGAACACATCTACAGGTAAAAATTCACGCAACCTCCTGGAGCCACTTGCTGGAATCAGGAAGTGTCCCTTCAAAGCTGAATCACCAAGATGCACAAAACTTTTGTGGTACATGTATCATCTCAAGACGCAGAAACAAGCCTCTTGGTGCCATACCTTAAATCAGACAGGAAGTCAGCCATTTTGATTTGAATGACCAATTACAGCCCATTTATGGCCTTTTACAAGGTCCATACTTTAACGAACTCCTCCTAGGGAATTAATCGGATCGACTTAAATTTTGTACTGTGCATTCTATAGGCTTTGACGATGAAAAGTTATGCTATCTGTGAGTTTTCGTCGATGGGTGTGTTTGTGGCCTGGCATCAAAGATCAACTCTTCACCATGACACAAGAAGTTGTTGTAACTTCAGTGTATATGCTCACATCTATGCAAAACTTTACGTGCTTGATAATTGTCCTGCCCCGAACACACCAATATTCATTTATAGTCATCGTGCCAAGTGCTATGTAGCGCCACAAAGGGGACACAGAAAGTGACGTATAACACCTTCATGCAGCGTCCAAAGCGCGTAACAAATTCACAGCCGCACCGGCAGAGCTCCAGAATATGCAACGTGGCCGCCTTACGCCCAGACACGCTACATGTGCGAGGGCCTGCCCAACGCTGCTTGCAGCATACTGTCATGCACATACTTCTCAACCGGCCCACTGCAAGGAAACCCCGCTCTCATGGGTCACCACTTTCCTGGGTGACCTTAGCGCATTATGAATTCAGCTACCACTCTGGAAAAAGGGCAACCTCTGATAACAAGCTAATTTTTATACTAGGTACTGGCCTGACCGTCTGTATTGAATGTCTAACTCAAGATTCAAAAGTTTCCTAGTCAATCAGTTCACTCCTCCCTCACTTTAGATTCCAGAGAGTAGGGCAATGAACACATAATCTGGAATGACCAGTTTACTTTTTATCTGTAATGAGGTGTGTTAATCTAGGCAATGTGGATGTTAAAGCACAAGAATACTAACTTACCAGTCCGGAAGAAGAGGGAGAAATCTAAGACAGTTTCTTAAGTTTGTGACAGTTTAGTTTGCACAGTTTAAGTTATTATTATTATTCAGGGTGCCAGCCAGGTCTCTCCCCTGGCAGTAAGATATAGGTTACTGATTGTCAAAGTTCTTTAAATCAAATGTCACAAAGGATGTACATCTTAAAAGAATGTACACCATCCCACTGAATGACCATAAAAGAAAGAAACACCATAAACCGTGTTTTTGCTGCTGGATTGGGAATGTTTTACTGGTTTCCGCAAGCAGCTACGCACGCCGATTGTAGAATGATTATCTCCCCCACCCTTGAGCTCTAGGGTCCACAACTTAAATAACTGATCGTCAGAAAGGACCTCACCCCATTTCCAAACGTTCATTGGCTGCCAGAATTTAGCAATCAGATTGATTGGGTCTCACCTCATATCCTTCCTTCTTTTTTTATAGGTAGTGTACACTTCCTGCCAGTAGTTGCAACACCCCTTTGCTCTAGTCACAACAATAAAATAAATAATATATATATAATAATAACTTCAGGAGTAACTTTGTGACGTTGGGTGTAACTTCCATATTAACCCCTACTACGAAAGGTGGATAGGTGTTACCCGAGGTCTGTTGTTATAACATTAATGAGTTTGCGTATTAACCACTTAATTTCCCGCATTCTGGAGACATTTTCTGGACCAATTTTTTCACACCTTTATTCACACCTCCCCTCATGTGCGCTAAATACACAAATGCATCGTCAGGGACGCTTTACCTTGTGGTTTAATTTACAGCAGAAGAGTGGACATCAGCGTCCTCTTTACTGGAAACTAGCATTATAAGCAGTTAACGATTATCACTCTTAAAGCAAAGGCAAAATAATACATACTGTCATTTGTAAGTATGTATGTATATGCGAGGTGAGTATTTATGTATGCGCAAGGTTAGTATGTAGTATGTATATGTGCGAGGTTAAGTATGTGTATATGTGCGAGGTTAAGTATGTATATATGCGCAAACTGAGTATATATATGAGTATGAGTATGTATACACTTTAAAATGCTTCCACACTTCCCACATGTCAGCGTAATTGGTTGTTAAAATTTAATTGGTTTTTTGACTTATTAGGCTGAACTCCGAAAGTGCTTTTTTGCTGTTTTCGGCCGATTAATTTTGGTGGCCGAACATTCGATGCATCCCTAAGCAAGCAAGTATGTATGTATGTGCAAGCGAAGTATTCAATTTTGACCTAGGCAAACTCCAGTTAAGTTGACAATAAATCAACTAACTAACATCTTATTCACTGTCATAGTACCATTTGACAACAATCTAGGCAGTCAGAGTTTGTAAACTCTGGCTTTGGTCAGGAACAGGCACTAGATCAAAACACAAGAATAGGTTATAAGAAAGCAGGTTTAAGTTCAGATAGCTGGAAAGCAAAGGCATATGCAACATTGACAATGGGGCACTGACTAAGGAGAAGGGGCTGGCTTAATTACTGACAGGAGTAACTTGGTAATGAGGAACAGGTGAGCAGGTGGATATGGTACTCAGGTGACTGGGACTGGTGGGCGAATGAAGATGACAAGTCCGGAGAGTTTCTAGGAAATGCATGGAAGTTGTGAGAGTTACAGTATTAATTACTTTTACAGTATTATTATTACTTTATTAACATTTTCTCAATGCAAACTTTTACTTGTAACAGATTATTTAACAGTTGGGTATTACCACTTTTACTTAGGTTCAGTGTGTAAATTTTAGTGACATCTAGTGGTGAGGGTTGCAAATTGCAACCAGTGGCTCACGGTGCATTCATGTGCTCCTCGGATGGTCCCATTTCCCGAGTTGTAAAGTCAATCTTCCGACTTCAGTGTGTTCATGTGCTCTTAAGTCAGAATGTGGAATCAACAAGGACGCTACTACAAAGATGTGTTGGATTAGCATTATTAGAGCACATAAACAATATGCAGACATCTAGTTTACTCTACATGGACAGCAAACTAACCCTTATAACCATATTACACATTACATGTTAGCAAAACATGTATATGCATGAATCAAAGTTCTGTATGCTTATATATGTCCCATGTGCACTTTATTTCTAAGGAGGAAAAAAATATTCTTCCGACACCACATGAATGCATCACTCACAGCTCACCTCTCCCTCGGCAGAGCAGTTTGTCCATTTGGGCTACTGTAGAAACATGGCAGTGCAACATTGCGACTTCCATGTAAGAGGGCCCGTGGTGTATGTAGAGAGAAATGGCTACTTCTAAGGTACTAAAAACATAACGGTTCATTATGTAAGGTCTTTATACACCACTGAAAACATTTTTATGGATATTATATTACATTTCTGTCAATAGATCCTCCTAAATATTACACACTGAACCTTAAGTCTTTACTTTTACTTCAGAAAACAATGACAATTCTATCTTTTTTGTGAAGGATAAACTGACTTCGATGAAAGCTCGGATCAGCAAATGGATATTGACAGAATCTGCAATCAAAAATACTGAATACATTAGTTTAGATTATACATCTAAACTTCCACAGAAGGAAACACACAGAGAATCCCTCACAACTCAAACCTTTAAAACAGATGAAGAAGGAGCAGAAGACGAAACAAAAACAAAAACAAAAGAGGCCATGTCTTTGCAAAAATCTATAACATTAGAAGACCAGCATCAAAGTGAAGAAATAAAGTATGCTATGGAGAACATGGAGAAAACAAATCAACACATTAAAAGGCTCATTATGGAAATAAATTACCTACATAGCCAGACACCAGAGACTGAAACTGGGTCACAAATTATAGTCAGGGGAACCGGAAACGTGAAGAAAGGAGTGACTGGACTGCTGGAAAATATTGAACAGAAAGACATTTTCAGGGTTAACTCCAATGTTTTCAAACATGAAATAATTACGAAGGATGGTAATAATATGAAGCAAGGAGTAACTGATGAGTCTGACTTGATAAGATTGGATGTTGAGAACCAAAAACAAAGTCTGGAATTAAGAGAAGATCTATGGACATGTCCTGAGGAGAAGGACGGAAGTTCTTGTAAAAAGGTCACAGGAAGTGCTGATATACAAAGACTTAAGGCAGAGATTTATAGAACACAAGAAATCATAAGATTAGTGAAACTAGGACTTGAAAACAAATCTGAAGAAAGTAACAAAAATCATGAGGACGGAGACAGTGAAATTGAAGGATTGCTGCAAGACATCAAACAATTCCAAACACTTTTGATAATGGTAAAAAGTGCAATGAGGCAAAATGAAATGCATTTGAAAGAAGAAATGAGAAACATGAAAACAATGAAAATGGCAGCAAAAAAACAGAAAAGAGAATTAGATCAGAGGTTGGAGAAAACTTTGAGAGAGAAAGATGAATTAGATATTTTAAAAATAAAAATGCAGAGACAAACTGAAGTGACAGAGCAGAAGTTGGAGAAAATGGCAAAAGTTAAGTGGACCATAGAGAAAATTTCTGCTGAGACAAGAAAGAAAAGTAAAGACATAGAGATTATAATGAAGGAGACCACAGAAAAACTGAGACTGTTAGAAGAACTGAACTGTAAGATTGAGGCAACAAAACAAGAACTGGAAAACAACTACCTTTTAATATCCCAGGAAAGAGTTCACCTTGAAAAATTGAAAAATGAAATCAGGCAGAGAAAGGATCAAGACTATGTATTGGAAAATACTGAGAGAGAGAAGGTAGACATAAAGAAATGTTTCAAAGGTGAAACAGATACAGAAAGGAACCAAATGACAAAGAACAGAATGGACAAAAAAATGGAGGAAATGGAAAATGAAATCTTCAGACTCAGATCAGAAAACAAGAAATTGGAGGACAATATAATAAAACCGATAATGGACAGTTTGGATGAGAAAAACAGTGAAATTGTACAACTGAAAAAGACAGTAAGTGAGCAAGTGAAACAAAAGCTTGAGAGAGAAGAGATTGAGATGATGAAAAAACAGATTCAAGTGGAGAAGGAGAATGTGAGACTAGCAAGACAACAAGCTGAGGCAGAAATACATGAGATGAACTGTTTAAGGGAGACTATTGAAAGACAGAAACAGGAGCTGGAAGACAAAGTGCAAATGACCAAAAGAGAAACAAGAGAAATAGAGCTACTGAAGTCAGAGCTGGAAACAAAGAAAAAAGAAAACAAAAAGATATTTAGGAAAAGCATGAGAAAAAAGGAGGAGAGTGACATAATGTGTTATGAAATACAAAGAAAAAAGGAATTACTGAAGAGCAAGACCAAAAAGAGAAGAAAAGAATTAGACCAAAGACTTGAGAAAACATTGAGAGAGGGGGACAAGTTAAAAATGTTGAGAATTAAACTGAAATGGCAGAAAGAAGAGTTGACTGATGAGAAGCAAATGAGTATCAAAAAAGAGCTACTCTTATCCAAGTATACAGAGAACATGAAAAACAAAGTCTGGAAAAGCAAGAGGTGATAAGTATCAGGGAGCACGCTGAAATGGCACACCAAAGCTCCACAGTCACAGATTCAATTGTTGACCTTCAAAACATCACACAAAAGATTCATGTGCATATGGAAATAATTAAGAAGGAAGTGGGAATTCTGGAACCTGTCAGTGTTCACTTATGGACACAGATAGAAGACCTCAAAGTAATAAATGCGGAGAACAGGGCTGTAAGAGACAACATCAACAGAATCAAATCTCAGATAATAATGGACTTTGAAAGAATTACTATACCAGCAAAAGCAAAAACAAATGAAATGTTCCAAAATAGGGATGATATCAAAAAACAACAACAGAAGCTTGAAATTGCACTAGAGAAAGTTAAAAGAGAAAAAAGAGAGATGGAAGTGTTGAATTCTGAGTTGGAAAAAAAGAAAAGAGAGAATAAACACATGATCCAAAAAGGGATTCGAATAGAGGGGAAAGTGAAAGCCATGTGGGCTGAGATCGAAGGAGAAAAAAATGCCCTGAAGAAGGAGACACAGAGAAGAAAGAAAGAGCTCAACCACCGACTGGAGAGGATCATCAGGGAGAGGGATGAACTAGAGATAATGAAGATGAAACTGCAAAGAGAAAAGGATGAAAGGAAAGGTGAAATGAAAAATTCTAGCATGTCAACAATCAAAAAAGTTCAAATTCAAAATAAAAGTCTATGGGAACTCATTCAGACATGTTTGCAGAAAGCTAATCTAATGACAAAACATACTAAAGATATTAAAGGAGCGATTGAAGCTAAAAAGAAAAACATTGAGGCCCAGATAAAAATCATAACCCGGGCAAGAGAAGAAGTGGAAAAAATAAAGATAGAGATTAAAAGGAAACAGGAAATTATTGCACGTGAGCAAAGAAATTTGGAGCAAGTGGAGATAACTAACATAAAAAAGGAAAAATCAAAAGAGTTAATGATGAAAGAAAAAGAGCTGGAGAATAAAGATCTTGAAAAGCTGAAGGCAAAGCTGAAGCAAGACAGAGAGGATCTGAACAGAATGACTGAGCTGTTGAACAAAGAGAAAGTGCACTTGGACCAGATGAGGTCTGACATCCAGAGACAAACTGACGTATTAGAACAAGAGAAACAAGACATAAAAGTGGCAAGAGACAAGTTGGACATCACAAAGACTGAGCTGCAAAAGAAGAAGGAAAATGCAGTCAGTCTGTTTGACGAGATAAACAGAGAGAAAACCCACGTGAAAAATCTGACTCTTCGGGTTCGGAGAGAACGAGATGAACTCGAAAATGTCATGAACATGATTACCTTCAGACAAAAAGAGCAAGAACTCAAGGAAGACGACATCAAAAGACAAACACAAGAACTGGAGACCAGTAAGAACAGTGTACTGGCAGAAAGAGAAGAACTGGAACTTTTGAGGAAGGACCTCAACAAGAAAGTAGAAGAGGTGGAATCAGCCACAAACAGCATGAGTGGAGAGCGCGAACAACTCACGAAAATGAAGACTGACCATGACAAAGGGAGAGAAATGCTTTTGAATGAAAAGGACATAATGGACAGAGAAAGGGAAGAGCTGAAAATAAGAGAAGATCAACTGATGAGTAAAATGAAATCCATAGAAACTCTGAGAGCAAAACTTCTACAGCAAAATGTGAAGATAAGTGAAGGCGTAAAATACAAGGTGGACAGGTTGAAACAAAACAATGAGGATGTGCAAATGCTGTACACTGTATTGGAACAAAAGCTTGGAGAACTTGATAAACAGAAAGAAAGCGTGGCTGGTGACACTGAGATTTTAGAGAGAGAAAGGGAAAGTCTGCTAAGTATGCTCTCCGACATGGACATCCAGAGAGAACACATGGAAAATATGTGGAAGCAAAAGTTTGAGATGGAAAAACAAAATCTTGGAAAACTTAAGGCACAACTGAAGCGAGACAGAGAGGATCTGAATAGAAGGAATGAGCTGTTGAACAAAGAGAAAGTGGACTGTGACCAGATGCGGTCTGACATCCAGACACAAACTGACTTATTAGAACAAGAGAAACAAGACATAAAAGAGGAAAGAGACAGGTTGGAATTCACAAAGATAGAGCTGCAAAAGAAGAAGGAAAACCTTGAATGTCTGTTTGACGGCATATACAGAGAGAAAGCCAACATTAAAGATCTAGCCCTTCATGTTCAGACAAAAAGGGACGAACTTGAGAAAGTCATTAACATGATTGCCTTCAGACGAAAAGAACAAGAGCTCAGGGGAGACGACATCAAAAGACAAACACAAGAACTGGAGACCAGTAAGAACAGCGCACTGGCAGAAAGACAAGAACTGGAAGTTTTGAAGAAGCATCTCAACAAGAAGGGGGAAGAGCTTGAAGCTGCCATGAATAGCATCAGTGGAGAGAGAGGACAACTCAGTCAGATGAAGATCAGTACTGAGAGGGACAGGGAAATACTTTTGAATGAAAAGGACAGACTAGAAAGAGATCGGTCAGAGCTGAAAATAAGAAAAGAACAACTCTTGAATAAAATGAAATCAATAGAATCTCTGAGGGCAAAACTTCAACACCTGAGTGAAAGGATGAGTGAAGACATGAGAGACAAAATCGCCAGACTGGAGCAAAACAACGACGACATTCTGAAACTATTGACTGTATTGGAGCAAAAGCATTGGGATTTGTGTGAAAAGAAAGAATATATGCCACGTTACACTAAGGCAATCGAGACTGAAAAGAAAGGTTTGAAGAGTGTTTTGGCCGAAATTGTCATCCAGAGACAAGATATGGAAAATCGAATGAAACAAGAGGCTTTGTTGGGAACGACGGATCTTGAAAAGCTGAAGGCAGAGCTGAAGCAAGACAGAGAGGATCTGAACAGAATGACTGAGCTGTTGAACAAAGAGAAAGTGCACTTGGACCAGATGAGGTCTGACATCCAGAGACAAACTGACGTATTAGAACAAGAGAAACAAGACATAAAAGTGGCAAGAGACAAGTTGGACATCACAAAGACTGAGCTGCAAAAGAAGAAGGAAAATGCAGTCAGTCTGTTTGACGAGATAAACAGAGAGAAAACCCACGTGAAAAATCTGACTCTTCGGGTTCGGAGAGAACGAGATGAACTCGAAAATGTCATGAACATGATTACCTTCAGACAAAAAGAGCAAGAACTCAAGGAAGACGACATCAAAAGACAAACACAAGAACTGGAGACCAGTAAGAACAGTGTACTGGCAGAAAGAGAAGAACTGGAACTTTTGAGGAAGGACCTCAACAAGAAAGTAGAAGAGGTGGAATCAGCCACAAACAGCATGAGTGGAGAGCGCGAACAACTCACGAAAATGAAGACTGACCATGACAAAGGGAGAGAAATGCTTTTGAATGAAAAGGACATAATGGACAGAGAAAGGGAAGAGCTGAAAATAAGAGAAGATCAACTGATGAGTAAAATGAAATCCATAGAAACTCTGAGAGCAAAACTTCTACAGCAAAATGTGACGATAAGTGAAGGCGTAAAATACAAGGTGGACAGGTTGAGACAAAACAATGAGGATGTGCTAATGCTGTACACTGTATTGGAACAAAAGCTTGGAGAACTTGATAAACAGAAAGAAAGCGTGGCTGGTGACACTGAGATTTTAGAGAGAGAAAGGGAAAGTCTGCTAAGTATGCTCTCCGACATGGACATCCAGAGAGAACACATGGAAAATATGTGGAAGCAAAAGTTTGAGATGGAAAAACAAAATCTTGGAAAACTTAAGGCACAACTGAAGCGAGACAGAGAGGATCTGAATAGAAGGAATGAGCTGTTGAACAAAGAGAAAGTGGACTGTGACCAGATGCGGTCTGACATCCAGACACAAACTGACTTATTAGAACAAGAGAAACAAGACATAAAAGAGGAAAGAGACAGGTTGGAATTCACAAAGATAGAGCTGCAAAAGAAGAAGGAAAACCTTGAATGTCTGTTTGACGGCATATACAGAGAGAAAGCCAACATTAAAGATCTAGCCCTTCATGTTCAGACAAAAAGGGACGAACTTGAGAAAGTCATTAACATGATTGCCTTCAGACGAAAAGAACAAGAGCTCAGGGGAGACGACATCAAAAGACAAACACAAGAACTGGAGACCAGTAAGAACAGCGCACTGGCAGAAAGACAAGAACTGGAAGTTTTGAAGAAGCATCTCAACAAGAAGGGGGAAGAGCTTGAAGCTGCCATGAATAGCATCAGTGGAGAGAGAGGACAACTCAGTCAGATGAAGATCAGTACTGAGAGGGACAGGGAAATACTTTTGAATGAAAAGGACAGACTAGAAAGAGATCGGTCAGAGCTGAAAATAAGAAAAGAACAACTCTTGAATAAAATGAAATCAATAGAATCTCTGAGGGCAAAACTTCAACACCTGAGTGAAAGGATGAGTGAAGACATGAGAGACAAAATCGCCAGACTGGAGCAAAACAACGACGACATTCTGAAACTATTGACTGTATTGGAGCAAAAGCATTGGGATTTGTGTGAAAAGAAAGAATATATGCCACGTTACGCTAAGGCAATCGAGACTGAAAAGAAAGGTTTGAAGAGTGTTTTGGCCGAAATTGTCATCCAGAGACAAGATATGGAAAATCGAATGAAACAAGAGGCTTTGTTGGGAACGACGGATCTTGAAAAGCTGAAGGCAGAGCTGAAGCAAGACAGAGAGGATCTGAACAGAATGACTGAGCTGTTGAACAAAGAGAAAGTGCACTTGGACCAGATGAGGTCTGACATCCAGAGACAAACTGACGTATTAGAACAAGAGAAACAAGACATAAAAGTGGCAAGAGACAAGTTGGACATCACAAAGACTGAGCTGCAAAAGAAGAAGGAAAATGCAGTCAGTCTGTTTGACGAGATAAACAGAGAGAAAACCCACGTGAAAAATCTGACTCTTCGGGTTCGGAGAGAACGAGATGAACTCGAAAATGTCATGAACATGATTACCTTCAGACAAAAAGAGCAAGAACTCAAGGAAGACGACATCAAAAGACAAACACAAGAACTGGAGACCAGTAAGAACAGTGTACTGGCAGAAAGAGAAGAACTGGAACTTTTGAGGAAGGACCTCAACAAGAAAGTAGAAGAGGTGGAATCAGCCACAAACAGCATGAGTGGAGAGCGCGAACAACTCACGAAAATGAAGACTGACCATGACAAAGGGAGAGAAATGCTTTTGAATGAAAAGGACATAATGGACAGAGAAAGGGAAGAGCTGAAAATAAGAGAAGATCAACTGATGAGTAAAATGAAATCCATAGAAACTCTGAGAGCAAAACTTCTACAGCAAAATGTGACGATAAGTGAAGGCGTAAAATACAAGGTGGACAGGTTGAGACAAAACAATGAGGATGTGCTAATGCTGTACACTGTATTGGAACAAAAGCTTGGAGAACTTGATAAACAGAAAGAAAGCGTGGCTGGTGACACTGAGATTTTAGAGAGAGAAAGGGAAAGTCTGCTAAGTATGCTCTCCGACATGGACATCCAGAGAGAACACATGGAAAATATGTGGAAGCAAAAGTTTGAGATGGAAAAACAAAATCTTGGAAAACTTAAGGCACAACTGAAGCGAGACAGAGAGGATCTGAATAGAAGGAATGAGCTGTTGAACAAAGAGAAAGTGGACTGTGACCAGATGCGGTCTGACATCCAGACACAAACTGACTTATTAGAACAAGAGAAACAAGACATAAAAGAGGAAAGAGACAGGTTGGAATTCACAAAGATAGAGCTGCAAAAGAAGAAGGAAAACCTTGAATGTCTGTTTGACGGCATATACAGAGAGAAAGCCAACATTAAAGATCTAGCCCTTCATGTTCAGACAAAAAGGGACGAACTTGAGAAAGTCATTAACATGATTGCCTTCAGACGAAAAGAACAAGAGCTCAGGGAGACGACATCAAAAGACAAACACAAGAACTGGAGACCAGTAAGAACAGCGCACTGGCAGAAAGACAAGAACTGGAAGTTTTGAAGAAGCATCTCAACAAGAAGGGGAAGAGCTTGAAGCTGCCATGAATAGCATCAGTGGAGAGAGAGGACAACTCAGTCAGATGAAGATCAGTACTGAGAGGGACAGGGAAATACTTTTGAATGAAAAGGACAGACTAGAAAGAGATCGGTCAGAGCTGAAAATAAGAAAAGAACAACTCTTGAATAAAATGAAATCAATAGAATCTCTGAGGGCAAAACTTCAACACCTGAGTGAAAGGATGAGTGAAGACATGAGAGACAAAATCGCCAGACTGGAGCAAAACAACGACGACATTCTGAAACTATTGACTGTATTGGAGCAAAAGCATTGGGATTTGTGTGAAAAGAAAGAATATATGCCACGTTACGCTAAGGCAATCGAGACTGAAAAGAAGGTTTGAAGAGTGTTTTGGCCGAAATTGTCATCCAGAGACAAGATATGGAAAATCGAATGAAGCAAAAGTTTGAGATGGAAAAACAAAATCTTGGAAAACTTAAGGCACAACTGAAGCGAGACAGAGAGGATCTGAATAGAAGGAATGAGCTGTTGAACAAAGAGAAAGTGGACTGTGACCAGATGCGGTCTGACATCCAGACACAAACTGACTTATTAGAACAAGAGAAACAAGACATAAAAGAGGAAAGAGACAGGTTGGAATTCACAAAGATAGAGCTGCAAAAGAAGAAGGAAAACCTTGAATGTCTGTTTGACGGCATATACAGAGAGAAAGCCAACATTAAAGATCTAGCCCTTCATGTTCAGACAAAAAGGGACGAACTTGAGAAAGTCATTAACATGATTGCCTTCAGACGAAAAGAACAAGAGCTCAGGGGAGACGACATCAAAAGACAAACACAAGAACTGGAGACCAGTAAGAACAGCGCACTGGCAGAAAGACAAGAACTGGAAGTTTTGAAGAAGCATCTCAACAAGAAGGGGGAAGAGCTTGAAGCTGCCATGAATAGCATCAGTGGAGAGAGAGGACAACTCAGTCAGATGAAGATCAGTACTGAGAGGGACAGGGAAATACTTTTGAATGAAAAGGACAGACTAGAAAGAGATCGGTCAGAGCTGAAAATAAGAAAAGAACAACTCTTGAATAAAATGAAATCAATAGAATCTCTGAGGGCAAAACTTCAACACCTGAGTGAAAGGATGAGTGAAGACATGAGAGACAAAATCGCCAGACTGGAGCAAAACAACGACGACATTCTGAAACTATTGACTGTATTGGAGCAAAAGCATTGGGATTTGTGTGAAAAGAAAGAATATATGCCACGTTACGCTAAGGCAATCGAGACTGAAAAGAAAGGTTTGAAGAGTGTTTTGGCCGAAATTGTCATCCAGAGACAAGATATGGAAAATCGAATGAAACAAGAGGCTTTGTTGGGAACGACGGATCTTGAAAAGCTGAAGGCAGAGCTGAAGCAAGACAGAGAGGATCTGAACAGAATGACTGAGCTGTTGAACAAAGAGAAAGTGCACTTGGACCAGATGAGGTCTGACATCCAGAGACAAACTGACGTATTAGAACAAGAGAAACAAGACATAAAAGTGGCAAGAGACAAGTTGGACATCACAAAGACTGAGCTGCAAAAGAAGAAGGAAAATGCAGTCAGTCTGTTTGACGAGATAAACAGAGAGAAAACCCACGTGAAAAATCTGACTCTTCGGGTTCGGAGAGAACGAGATGAACTCGAAAATGTCATGAACATGATTACCTTCAGACAAAAAGAGCAAGAACTCAAGGAAGACGACATCAAAAGACAAACACAAGAACTGGAGACCAGTAAGAACAGTGTACTGGCAGAAAGAGAAGAACTGGAACTTTTGAGGAAGGACCTCAACAAGAAAGTAGAAGAGGTGGAATCAGCCACAAACAGCATGAGTGGAGAGCGCGAACAACTCACGAAAATGAAGACTGACCATGACAAAGGGAGAGAAATGCTTTTGAATGAAAAGGACATAATGGACAGAGAAAGGGAAGAGCTGAAAATAAGAGAAGATCAACTGATGAGTAAAATGAAATCCATAGAAACTCTGAGAGCAAAACTTCTACAGCAAAATGTGACGATAAGTGAAGGCGTAAAATACAAGGTGGACAGGTTGAGACAAAACAATGAGGATGTGCTAATGCTGTACACTGTATTGGAACAAAAGCTTGGAGAACTTGATAAACAGAAAGAAAGCGTGGCTGGTGACACTGAGATTTTAGAGAGAGAAAGGGAAAGTCTGCTAAGTATGCTCTCCGACATGGACATCCAGAGAGAACACATGGAAAATATGTGGAAGCAAAAGTTTGAGATGGAAAAACAAAATCTTGGAAAACTTAAGGCACAACTGAAGCGAGACAGAGAGGATCTGAATAGAAGGAATGAGCTGTTGAACAAAGAGAAAGTGGACTGTGACCAGATGCGGTCTGACATCCAGACACAAACTGACTTATTAGAACAAGAGAAACAAGACATAAAAGAGGAAAGAGACAGGTTGGAATTCACAAAGATAGAGCTGCAAAAGAAGAAGGAAAACCTTGAATGTCTGTTTGACGGCATATACAGAGAGAAAGCCAACATTAAAGATCTAGCCCTTCATGTTCAGACAAAAAGGGACGAACTTGAGAAAGTCATTAACATGATTGCCTTCAGACGAAAAGAACAAGAGCTCAGGGGAGACGACATCAAAAGACAAACACAAGAACTGGAGACCAGTAAGAACAGCGCACTGGCAGAAAGACAAGAACTGGAAGTTTTGAAGAAGCATCTCAACAAGAAGGGGGAAGAGCTTGAAGCTGCCATGAATAGCATCAGTGGAGAGAGAGGACAACTCAGTCAGATGAAGATCAGTACTGAGAGGGACAGGGAAATACTTTTGAATGAAAAGGACAGACTAGAAAGAGATCGGTCAGAGCTGAAAATAAGAAAAGAACAACTCTTGAATAAAATGAAATCAATAGAATCTCTGAGGGCAAAACTTCAACACCTGAGTGAAAGGATGAGTGAAGACATGAGAGACAAAATCGCCAGACTGGAGCAAAACAACGACGACATTCTGAAACTATTGACTGTATTGGAGCAAAAGCATTGGGATTTGTGTGAAAAGAAAGAATATATGCCACGTTACGCTAAGGCAATCGAGACTGAAAAGAAAGGTTTGAAGAGTGTTTTGGCCGAAATTGTCATCCAGAGACAAGATATGGAAAATCGAATGAAACAAGAGGCTTTGTTGGGAACGACGGATCTTGAAAAGCTGAAGGCAGAGCTGAAGCAAGACAGAGAGGATCTGAACAGAATGACTGAGCTGTTGAACAAAGAGAAAGTGCACTTGGACCAGATGAGGTCTGACATCCAGAGACAAACTGACGTATTAGAACAAGAGAAACAAGACATAAAAGTGGCAAGAGACAAGTTGGACATCACAAAGACTGAGCTGCAAAAGAAGAAGGAAAATGCAGTCAGTCTGTTTGACGAGATAAACAGAGAGAAAACCCACGTGAAAAATCTGACTCTTCGGGTTCGGAGAGAACGAGATGAACTCGAAAATGTCATGAACATGATTACCTTCAGACAAAAAGAGCAAGAACTCAAGGAAGACGACATCAAAAGACAAACACAAGAACTGGAGACCAGTAAGAACAGTGTACTGGCAGAAAGAGAAGAACTGGAACTTTTGAGGAAGGACCTCAACAAGAAAGTAGAAGAGGTGGAATCAGCCACAAACAGCATGAGTGGAGAGCGCGAACAACTCACGAAAATGAAGACTGACCATGACAAAGGGAGAGAAATGCTTTTGAATGAAAAGGACATAATGGACAGAGAAAGGGAAGAGCTGAAAATAAGAGAAGATCAACTGATGAGTAAAATGAAATCCATAGAAACTCTGAGAGCAAAACTTCTACAGCAAAATGTGACGATAAGTGAAGGCGTAAAATACAAGGTGGACAGGTTGAGACAAAACAATGAGGATGTGCTAATGCTGTACACTGTATTGGAACAAAAGCTTGGAGAACTTGATAAACAGAAAGAAAGCGTGGCTGGTGACACTGAGATTTTAGAGAGAGAAAGGGAAAGTCTGCTAAGTATGCTCTCCGACATGGACATCCAGAGAGAACACATGGAAAATATGTGGAAGCAAAAGTTTGAGATGGAAAAACAAAATCTTGGAAAACTTAAGGCACAACTGAAGCGAGACAGAGAGGATCTGAATAGAAGGAATGAGCTGTTGAACAAAGAGAAAGTGGACTGTGACCAGATGCGGTCTGACATCCAGACACAAACTGACTTATTAGAACAAGAGAAACAAGACATAAAAGAGGAAAGAGACAGGTTGGAATTCACAAAGATAGAGCTGCAAAAGAAGAAGGAAAACCTTGAATGTCTGTTTGACGGCATATACAGAGAGAAAGCCAACATTAAAGATCTAGCCCTTCATGTTCAGACAAAAAGGGACGAACTTGAGAAAGTCATTAACATGATTGCCTTCAGACGAAAAGAACAAGAGCTCAGGGGAGACGACATCAAAAGACAAACACAAGAACTGGAGACCAGTAAGAACAGCGCACTGGCAGAAAGACAAGAACTGGAAGTTTTGAAGAAGCATCTCAACAAGAAGGGGGAAGAGCTTGAAGCTGCCATGAATAGCATCAGTGGAGAGAGAGGACAACTCAGTCAGATGAAGATCAGTACTGAGAGGGACAGGGAAATACTTTTGAATGAAAAGGACAGACTAGAAAGAGATCGGTCAGAGCTGAAAATAAGAAAAGAACAACTCTTGAATAAAATGAAATCAATAGAATCTCTGAGGGCAAAACTTCAACACCTGAGTGAAAGGATGAGTGAAGACATGAGAGACAAAATCGCCAGACTGGAGCAAAACAACGACGACATTCTGAAACTATTGACTGTATTGGAGCAAAAGCATTGGGATTTGTGTGAAAAGAAAGAATATATGCCACGTTACGCTAAGGCAATCGAGACTGAAAAGAAAGGTTTGAAGAGTGTTTTGGCCGAAATTGTCATCCAGAGACAAGATATGGAAAATCGAATGAAACAAGAGGCTTTGTTGGGAACGACGGATCTTGAAAAGCTGAAGGCAGAGCTGAAGCAAGACAGAGAGGATCTGAACAGAATGACTGAGCTGTTGAACAAAGAGAAAGTGCACTTGGACCAGATGAGGTCTGACATCCAGAGACAAACTGACGTATTAGAACAAGAGAAACAAGACATAAAAGTGGCAAGAGACAAGTTGGACATCACAAAGACTGAGCTGCAAAAGAAGAAGGAAAATGCAGTCAGTCTGTTTGACGAGATAAACAGAGAGAAAACCCACGTGAAAAATCTGACTCTTCGGGTTCGGAGAGAACGAGATGAACTCGAAAATGTCATGAACATGATTACCTTCAGACAAAAAGAGCAAGAACTCAAGGAAGACGACATCAAAAGACAAACACAAGAACTGGAGACCAGTAAGAACAGTGTACTGGCAGAAAGAGAAGAACTGGAACTTTTGAGGAAGGACCTCAACAAGAAAGTAGAAGAGGTGGAATCAGCCACAAACAGCATGAGTGGAGAGCGCGAACAACTCACGAAAATGAAGACTGACCATGACAAAGGGAGAGAAATGCTTTTGAATGAAAAGGACATAATGGACAGAGAAAGGGAAGAGCTGAAAATAAGAGAAGATCAACTGATGAGTAAAATGAAATCCATAGAAACTCTGAGAGCAAAACTTCTACAGCAAAATGTGACGATAAGTGAAGGCGTAAAATACAAGGTGGACAGGTTGAGACAAAACAATGAGGATGTGCTAATGCTGTACACTGTATTGGAACAAAAGCTTGGAGAACTTGATAAACAGAAAGAAAGCGTGGCTGGTGACACTGAGATTTTAGAGAGAGAAAGGGAAAGTCTGCTAAGTATGCTCTCCGACATGGACATCCAGAGAGAACACATGGAAAATATGTGGAAGCAAAAGTTTGAGATGGAAAAACAAAATCTTGGAAAACTTAAGGCACAACTGAAGCGAGACAGAGAGGATCTGAATAGAAGGAATGAGCTGTTGAACAAAGAGAAAGTGGACTGTGACCAGATGCGGTCTGACATCCAGACACAAACTGACTTATTAGAACAAGAGAAACAAGACATAAAAGAGGAAAGAGACAGGTTGGAATTCACAAAGATAGAGCTGCAAAAGAAGAAGGAAAACCTTGAATGTCTGTTTGACGGCATATACAGAGAGAAAGCCAACATTAAAGATCTAGCCCTTCATGTTCAGACAAAAAGGGACGAACTTGAGAAAGTCATTAACATGATTGCCTTCAGACGAAAAGAACAAGAGCTCAGGGGAGACGACATCAAAAGACAAACACAAGAACTGGAGACCAGTAAGAACAGCGCACTGGCAGAAAGACAAGAACTGGAAGTTTTGAAGAAGCATCTCAACAAGAAGGGGGAAGAGCTTGAAGCTGCCATGAATAGCATCAGTGGAGAGAGAGGACAACTCAGTCAGATGAAGATCAGTACTGAGAGGGACAGGGAAATACTTTTGAATGAAAAGGACAGACTAGAAAGAGATCGGTCAGAGCTGAAAATAAGAAAAGAACAACTCTTGAATAAAATGAAATCAATAGAATCTCTGAGGGCAAAACTTCAACACCTGAGTGAAAGGATGAGTGAAGACATGAGAGACAAAATCGCCAGACTGGAGCAAAACAACGACGACATTCTGAAACTATTGACTGTATTGGAGCAAAAGCATTGGGATTTGTGTGAAAAGAAAGAATATATGCCACGTTACGCTAAGGCAATCGAGACTGAAAAGAAAGGTTTGAAGAGTGTTTTGGCCGAAATTGTCATCCAGAGACAAGATATGGAAAATCGAATGAAACAAGAGGCTTTGTTGGGAACGACGGATCTTGAAAAGCTGAAGGCAGAGCTGAAGCAAGACAGAGAGGATCTGAACAGAATGACTGAGCTGTTGAACAAAGAGAAAGTGCACTTGGACCAGATGAGGTCTGACATCCAGAGACAAACTGACGTATTAGAACAAGAGAAACAAGACATAAAAGTGGCAAGAGACAAGTTGGACATCACAAAGACTGAGCTGCAAAAGAAGAAGGAAAATGCAGTCAGTCTGTTTGACGAGATAAACAGAGAGAAAACCCACGTGAAAAATCTGACTCTTCGGGTTCGGAGAGAACGAGATGAACTCGAAAATGTCATGAACATGATTACCTTCAGACAAAAAGAGCAAGAACTCAAGGAAGACGACATCAAAAGACAAACACAAGAACTGGAGACCAGTAAGAACAGTGTACTGGCAGAAAGAGAAGAACTGGAACTTTTGAGGAAGGACCTCAACAAGAAAGTAGAAGAGGTGGAATCAGCCACAAACAGCATGAGTGGAGAGCGCGAACAACTCACGAAAATGAAGACTGACCATGACAAAGGGAGAGAAATGCTTTTGAATGAAAAGGACATAATGGACAGAGAAAGGGAAGAGCTGAAAATAAGAGAAGATCAACTGATGAGTAAAATGAAATCCATAGAAACTCTGAGAGCAAAACTTCTACAGCAAAATGTGACGATAAGTGAAGGCGTAAAATACAAGGTGGACAGGTTGAGACAAAACAATGAGGATGTGCTAATGCTGTACACTGTATTGGAACAAAAGCTTGGAGAACTTGATAAACAGAAAGAAAGCGTGGCTGGTGACACTGAGATTTTAGAGAGAGAAAGGGAAAGTCTGCTAAGTATGCTCTCCGACATGGACATCCAGAGAGAACACATGGAAAATATGTGGAAGCAAAAGTTTGAGATGGAAAAACAAAATCTTGGAAAACTTAAGGCACAACTGAAGCGAGACAGAGAGGATCTGAATAGAAGGAATGAGCTGTTGAACAAAGAGAAAGTGGACTGTGACCAGATGCGGTCTGACATCCAGACACAAACTGACTTATTAGAACAAGAGAAACAAGACATAAAAGAGGAAAGAGACAGGTTGGAATTCACAAAGATAGAGCTGCAAAAGAAGAAGGAAAACCTTGAATGTCTGTTTGACGGCATATACAGAGAGAAAGCCAACATTAAAGATCTAGCCCTTCATGTTCAGACAAAAAGGGACGAACTTGAGAAAGTCATTAACATGATTGCCTTCAGACGAAAAGAACAAGAGCTCAGGGGAGACGACATCAAAAGACAAACACAAGAACTGGAGACCAGTAAGAACAGCGCACTGGCAGAAAGACAAGAACTGGAAGTTTTGAAGAAGCATCTCAACAAGAAGGGGGAAGAGCTTGAAGCTGCCATGAATAGCATCAGTGGAGAGAGAGGACAACTCAGTCAGATGAAGATCAGTACTGAGAGGGACAGGGAAATACTTTTGAATGAAAAGGACAGACTAGAAAGAGATCGGTCAGAGCTGAAAATAAGAAAAGAACAACTCTTGAATAAAATGAAATCAATAGAATCTCTGAGGGCAAAACTTCAACACCTGAGTGAAAGGATGAGTGAAGACATGAGAGACAAAATCGCCAGACTGGAGCAAAACAACGACGACATTCTGAAACTATTGACTGTATTGGAGCAAAAGCATTGGGATTTGTGTGAAAAGAAAGAATATATGCCACGTTACGCTAAGGCAATCGAGACTGAAAAGAAAGGTTTGAAGAGTGTTTTGGCCGAAATTGTCATCCAGAGACAAGATATGGAAAATCGAATGAAACAAGAGGCTTTGTTGGGAACGACGGATCTTGAAAAGCTGAAGGCAGAGCTGAAGCAAGACAGAGAGGATCTGAACAGAATGACTGAGCTGTTGAACAAAGAGAAAGTGCACTTGGACCAGATGAGGTCTGACATCCAGAGACAAACTGACGTATTAGAACAAGAGAAACAAGACATAAAAGTGGCAAGAGACAAGTTGGACATCACAAAGACTGAGCTGCAAAAGAAGAAGGAAAATGCAGTCAGTCTGTTTGACGAGATAAACAGAGAGAAAACCCACGTGAAAAATCTGACTCTTCGGGTTCGGAGAGAACGAGATGAACTCGAAAATGTCATGAACATGATTACCTTCAGACAAAAAGAGCAAGAACTCAAGGAAGACGACATCAAAAGACAAACACAAGAACTGGAGACCAGTAAGAACAGTGTACTGGCAGAAAGAGAAGAACTGGAACTTTTGAGGAAGGACCTCAACAAGAAAGTAGAAGAGGTGGAATCAGCCACAAACAGCATGAGTGGAGAGCGCGAACAACTCACGAAAATGAAGACTGACCATGACAAAGGGAGAGAAATGCTTTTGAATGAAAAGGACATAATGGACAGAGAAAGGGAAGAGCTGAAAATAAGAGAAGATCAACTGATGAGTAAAATGAAATCCATAGAAACTCTGAGAGCAAAACTTCTACAGCAAAATGTGAAGATAAGTGAAGGCGTAAAATACAAGGTGGACAGGTTGAGACAAAACAATGAGGATGTGCTAATGCTGTACACTGTATTGGAACAAAAGCTTGGAGAACTTGATAAACAGAAAGAAAGCGTGGCTGGTGACACTGAGATTTTAGAGAGAGAAAGGGAAAGTCTGCTAAGTATGCTCTCCGACATGGACATCCAGAGAGAACACATGGAAAATATGTGGAAGCAAAAGTTTGAGATGGAAAAACAAAATCTTGGAAAACTTAAGGCACAACTGAAGCGAGACAGAGAGGATCTGAATAGAAGGAATGAGCTGTTGAACAAAGAGAAAGTGGACTGTGACCAGATGCGGTCTGACATCCAGACACAAACTGACTTATTAGAACAAGAGAAACAAGACATAAAAGAGGAAAGAGACAGGTTGGAATTCACAAAGATAGAGCTGCAAAAGAAGAAGGAAAACCTTGAATGTCTGTTTGACGGCATATACAGAGAGAAAGCCAACATTAAAGATCTAGCCCTTCATGTTCAGACAAAAAGGGACGAACTTGAGAAAGTCATTAACATGATTGCCTTCAGACGAAAAGAACAAGAGCTCAGGGGAGACGACATCAAAAGACAAACACAAGAACTGGAGACCAGTAAGAACAGCGCACTGGCAGAAAGACAAGAACTGGAAGTTTTGAAGAAGCATCTCAACAAGAAGGGGGAAGAGCTTGAAGCTGCCATGAATAGCATCAGTGGAGAGAGAGGACAACTCAGTCAGATGAAGATCAGTACTGAGAGGGACAGGGAAATACTTTTGAATGAAAAGGACAGACTTGAAAGAGATCGGTCAGAGCTGAAAATAAGAAAAGAACAACTCTTGAATAAAATGAAATCAATAGAATCTCTGAGGGCAAAACTTCAACACCTGAGTGAAAGGATGAGTGAAGACATGAGAGACAAAATCGCCAGACTGGAGCAAAACAACGACGACATTCTGAAACTATTGACTGTATTGGAGCAAAAGCATTGGGATTTGTGTGAAAAGAAAGAATATATGCCACGTTACGCTAAGGCAATCGAGACTGAAAAGAAAGGTTTGAAGAGTGTTTTGGCCGAAATTGTCATCCAGAGACAAGATATGGAAAATCGAATGAAACAAGAGGCTTTGTTGGGAACGACGGATCTTGAAAAGCTGAAGGCAGAGCTGAAGCAAGACAGAGAGGATCTGAACAGAATGACTGAGCTGTTGAACAAAGAGAAAGTGCACTTGGACCAGATGAGGTCTGACATCCAGAGACAAACTGACGTATTAGAACAAGAGAAACAAGACATAAAAGTGGCAAGAGACAAGTTGGACATCACAAAGACTGAGCTGCAAAAGAAGAAGGAAAATGCAGTCAGTCTGTTTGACGAGATAAACAGAGAGAAAACCCACGTGAAAAATCTGACTCTTCGGGTTCGGAGAGAACGAGATGAACTCGAAAATGTCATGAACATGATTACCTTCAGACAAAAAGAGCAAGAACTCAAGGAAGACGACATCAAAAGACAAACACAAGAACTGGAGACCAGTAAGAACAGTGTACTGGCAGAAAGAGAAGAACTGGAACTTTTGAGGAAGGACCTCAACAAGAAAGTAGAAGAGGTGGAATCAGCCACAAACAGCATGAGTGGAGAGCGCGAACAACTCACGAAAATGAAGACTGACCATGACAAAGGGAGAGAAATGCTTTTGAATGAAAAGGACATAATGGACAGAGAAAGGGAAGAGCTGAAAATAAGAGAAGATCAACTGATGAGTAAAATGAAATCCATAGAAACTCTGAGAGCAAAACTTCTACAGCAAAATGTGAAGATAAGTGAAGGCGTAAAATACAAGGTGGACAGGTTGAGACAAAACAATGAGGATGTGCTAATGCTGTACACTGTATTGGAACAAAAGCTTGGAGAACTTGATAAACAGAAAGAAAGCGTGGCTGGTGACGCTGAGATTTTAGAGAGAGAAAGGGAAAGTCTGCTAAGTATGCTCTCCGACATGGACATCCAGAGAGAACACATGGAAAATATGTGGAAGCAAAAGTTTGAGATGGAAAAACAAAATCTTGGAAAACTTAAGGCACAACTGAAGCGAGACAGAGAGGATCTGAATAGAAGGAATGAGCTGTTGAACAAAGAGAAAGTGGACTGTGACCAGATGCGGTCTGATATCCAGACACAAACTGACTTATTAGAACAAGAGAAACAAGACATAAAAGAGGAAAGAGACAAAAAGAAGACGATGGATGGCAAATTGTCTGAGCTGGAAAGACATGACCTACTCACCCATTTAATGAACTCCATAGGAAGTCAAAGAGCAAAATTGCTGAATCAAACAATACATATTAGAAACAATATGGAGCAATTAGAACAGAAAACTATAGACATAATTCAGTTAAACTCAATCTTGGAACACACGTGTGATGATCTTGAACAACAGATAAATAAGGTCATTGGCTATTATGAGCTCATGCAACGAGAGAAGAAACAGGTGGTTACAGTGAAGTTTGACAAGGTGGTACAAACCGATGGTGTCGCAGAATCGCAGCAGCAGCAAGATATCGTAAAACGGGATTTAAATAAACTTAAAAAGTGTGAATCTGAGAATGACCAGGATGTTCGGGGGTCAGATGTCACAATCCTGACTAAAGAATTTGTGAATCAGTGGAAGTTAGATGAAGATAAACTTGGTCTTTTCAAAAAGGGTAAATACCTGAAGACTGAGAGGAAAGGTTTGCTGATGGTAGTGGAGGGTGAAAAAGTGGAAAATGAACAGAAACAGAAGCTTGGAACACTGTCTGAGTTAAGTGGCAGACCACAAATATTTTACAGGAAAAAAAATGTCAAAAAGAGATTGTTTGCGAAATATATGGAAGGATACTAAAATGGAACGGAAGGAGATTGATCAGACAAAGCGCTGGGGTCATGAGATGACAAACAACCTGGAGAAAAAACTAAAGGTCATCAATAAGTTTCTTAAGAGGACATGGTTACAAAAAGAACAGGAACCATGGGAGAAGGCAAAGCTGGAACAAGGACTAAGTAAGGACACAACATCTCAAAGTGACCATGAGAGAGACCGCACAAGCCTTGATAAAATATACACAGAGCTCCAACAACTTAAGCTTCAGATGCTCAATGAGATTGAGAAACTCCACGTCAAAGAAAAAGTGTCTAGGACAACTAGTGACAAAGCTAATCAAACATTCAAGGGGGATACAATCATAGGGGATACATCAGTGCAGATAACAGAACAAGCTTCTGCCAAAATGTATCAAGGGCAAATGAAGGTAGAAAAAACTGAAGCAGCTCCAGAGACAACCAGCGGTCTCCTCTTTCAGCTCCGGCATTACTGCTCTCGCTGCTGCTGTCCTTGCGGTGCCTGCTGTAAAGTGTGTCCAGAGGAGAAATGAGAGACATGGTATTGTATGCTTCCTGCATATATTTAAAATACAATTTGTCAACTTAAAAGTGGTGTAAGTGATTCTAATCCAATACATTTCTTTTTGTGAAATTCAGGGAATATCCTTCACCAGTGTGCGCTAAAGAAACATCTGGTGTTTGTCCTTAGCCCTGGCTCTGTAAATGGGAATCAAACAAAGTGTCTCGGACCAAGCCACACAACACTACTCCAGCTGTTCCAGCCATGATGTTTGTGTCAGTAACATTAAATTATCATGATCATTCAGCTTACTCGCAAGTTCAATAAGACATGCTGTTGTTGTTATGTTAGCTATAGCAGCAGGAGAGCTGTGAGTATAGTATAGTGATCTGTAAGAATAAAATCAAACTATTCTTTCGACAATTTTTAAACCAACATGACTACTAACAAAAAGCTGTTTTTGGCTTTATATTTGTTTGCATATGTGAAACTCTTTTAATTCTTGGTTTGGAAAATAGCATTTAATAGTGTACCTGAACATGCTTAATTTTCAGTTTTCAATTCCTGATTAAAATCTCAGTCATTCATATTGTAATATTAAATATAATGTATCCACTTCCACTTAATTACATAGATTCTTAAATATTAAAGAAATGACCATGGCAAGTTGAATTCATTTTTAGTTTTTACTGTTGTTATGGTTGTTGTTGCTGGTTTGTTTTTCATTTGTTTACCATGGTCTGTTAAAATTATTTAAGGAAATTAAATAAAGTAGTATTCCCAAAGTATTCCCAAATGTAAAAAAATAAATAAAAACTGAGATATACACTATATGATGAAATATTCAATGCTGAAATATATAAATGGGGGTCCCCTAGAAAAATTTGAGCACTAAACACAATTTCCTGCATTCTGGGGACATTTTCTGTACCAATTTATGGTAGAATTGTCTTTATTTAAATAAAGTGATTTTTTTTTTAGCTTAAACTTTTTTGAACAATGCACATTTGTTTCTTTGATCTTTAAATTGCATTGCATGTTTTCTTATTGTGCAAATAAACCTTTCTCAAAGTAATTTTATTTGTTTTTTTAAACATTTCTTGTTGCAAGCCATTTTTTAGAACATATTTAACAAATGCTTTAAAAAAAGTGATGGAGACATGTCCCCAGTATCCACAGTGTAAATTACACCTATGAAATGAATACAATATTTGTGCACTAAGAACTAAGGGGTGAAATCAAAAATACAAACAAATTGTGTGGTATGAGTTGTTGCAGTTAGTTACACATTGGATAGATAAGGTAATGTAACATAATATGCTATTGAAAACAGATTGTACTATTAGTGTGGCTGAAAGAGGATCTTTGTAGTGACAGAAGATGGAGAATAGACTGGAGAGGGGAGATTATGAACATTAGGAACATTTTGACTACTTTTCAATTGTTTATGGACACGTAGCAGAGACACATGCACACCTCCTGGCACATGTTTTTAAGGTCAAGGATGGTCACGGACAGAGGCCAAAAAAGTGGCCCAGGAGTTTGTCCCTGGTCAGCCCGCTCTCCAGCATTAGTCGGGCCCTCTGAGTCTTTAAAGACCTTTATACCTGCATTCTTGAAAATTTTATGCAAGTTGAGTACATAACTAAATTAACCTTTAAAATACATTTTCAAAACTAGAAACATCCATCTAACACCCCTAAAGTAAAGTAATCATTTCAGCTGATCCCTTGAGTAGATAACTAAATAAGCCATATCATCATCAATCTTACCATAAACTGCTGCTTTGGACTGTGCTGGCTTTGACTCTGTTCTGCTATTCACCTCATCTCTGCTGTCTCAAGTTCACTATGTCAGCGCTAGTATTGGTGCCACTGGCCAGTGGCAGGTAAAGTACTCAAAATCTTTACTCAAGAAAAAGTACAATTACTCCCATAAAAAGGAAAAGAAAAAAAGACAAACCTACTCATGTATAAATATAATAATATATTTTATTTATGCTATTCATCAGGTTTGAAACAGCTGCAACATGGTTATTTCTAGGGAATGCAATTTGCTTTGTTGGTTTAGCTATTTCTGTTTAATAATTATTTTTCTTTTTAAATCTCCATGAATGTGTTGATAAGATCACTTTAAAATATCATGCTTGCTGCCCAGCCAACTATTGTTGCATGTATCTTATTATGGACTTGTGCTACTGCAAACCTCTTGCTTTGCAGTAGCACAAGCAGCCAAAACAATCTGATTATTCCTAAAGAACCTAAATAATCTTCACAACGCAAAGAATTATTGTGGCAGTAACAGGAGAGCAGCTCGTTGTTGAAGGAGGTAAAACTACATACAGAGGAAGCTGTGCGTCATGCGTAAAGCCCAACAAGACTGTTTTATCCACCATATTTTCTCTCTCTGTGCATCTCCAATATGATTGTTTCCTGAATAAATAACAGCTGGTAGCTGCTGAGTGAAAGCCAAGATTATTTTCACCGGCGACATTCTGTTTATCGACACTCATATCCATTAAACAGTAGGCTATTAAAAACAAACAAACAAAAAAAGGCGAATATCCATCAAAAGAAAGCGATGCTCTTTTCAACAACAGGATACTGTTAATTTATCAGAATCATTCTAGTGATCATCAGACTTGGATGTTACACTGTGAAGTTTACGTTTGCTCTGCAGAGACTAAACACGCTTTTAATGCGCCGTTAATAGAAAGTGAAGGTAGGTGCCAGCCGGCTTGTTAAAGAGCGACGCAGACTGCTTTACTGCTCTACTGGCCCACAGAAAATACTGGAGTAAAGAGTAAAAGTAGGCTTAAAAAAGGAACTAGGTGCCAATTACTTTTTTTATTTTATTTATTTAGCAAAATGATGTTACTTGTAACATGTCACTACCCACCCTGCAGCAGGCATCCTCACTGCTGTCTTCAGGTACAAAAAGAACAGCATAAAATAAACACAATATTGAGGCACTTTGCTGCACCTGCCTCCCTTAACTTTTCAGCACTGCATTTGCCTTGTGTCACATGTTTTCTATAGGCTACATGGATGTATGTTAATTCCGAGTTGAATCTCACTGACCATGCGTCACGAGGAATGCCTGCAGAAACATTCAGAATGTGTCAAAACTGGAGTTTTTGACAAAGGACAGGAAACACTGGCCAGTTTCACCAGACATGAAAGAAATACAGACAGATGATGCTGAAGTGAAAGAAGCAGTATGTGTGTCTGCCACCAACATGCATGAGAATCCACTTAACAAGCTCATTTGTTATTATTCAGAGTGGCACTGTTTAAAAAGGGCAGTTCCATGGATGATAAAGGTTAAAAAACTGCTTCAAAGACTGAGCGCAATTAAGTCATCATTTAAGTCATGCAAAGAAAACTGAAATGGTTACACACAAAATGCAACAGTTCAAGTCAACTGTCAAGGGGTCTTTGCTCACCACTGAAGATTTTGTTATGGCAGAAGTTGAGATTATCATGTTTTGTCAAAATCAATGCTTTAGTGATGAACTTAAAAGCTCTTCAGAAAGGTGACAAACTTAAAGGAAGCAGTCACATTGTCAAGCTTGATCCTGTTGTGCAAGATGGGATTTTACGGGTTGGTGGAAGATTGCATCAGTCTGCACTGCCAGCAGATGTTAAACAACCTGTGATACTTCCTAAAGATCATCATGTCTCCACGTTGATCCTCAGACATATCCACAAAGAAACAGGACATTGTGGGAGAAATTACATGCTTTCCGGCTGAGAGAGAGATTCTGGATCCCGCAAGCAGACTCTGCTGCTAGGAAAATATTGTCAAAGTGTGTAACATGTAAAAAGATTTCAGCAAAACGTGGAGAACAGAGGATGGCAAATTTGCCACAAGATCGCCTAATACCTGACAAGCTACCCTTCACTAATGTGTACATAGACTATTTTGGGCCCCTCAAAGTGAAATGTGGGTGAAGTACAGTAAAAAGATATGGTGTATTGTTCACCTGTCTCACTGTTAGAGCAATTCACATCGAAGTTGCCAACACACTTGAAACTGACTCGTGCATAAACGCATTCAGGGAGATTTGTTGCTAGGAGAGGTCAAGTGTCTGTCGTGAGATCATCATTGGCAACGAATCTAGTGGAAGCAGAGAAAGAAATGTGTGAAGCAATTCAAAGAAATGTTCATGCAAAAGGGCATTACCTGGATGTTCAACCCACCAGCAGGTTCACATTTTGGTGGCATCTGGGAGCGACATATGTTCTGTGAGGAAAATCCTCAAACATGTTCTGAAACAGCAGCCTCTTGACGATGAATGTCTTCATATATTGTTGTGTGAAGTTAAGGCAATTGTTAATGGCAGGCCTATAACACGAGTGTCAAGTGATCCAATTGATTTGGAGGCACTCTCACTTAACCATTTGCTTTAATGTTAAAGCGTCCGGTAGTCTTTCTCGTCCCTCTCCTCTCTTCTCCTATCACTTCCTGCAGGTGTTTTTGGCTCTGGAGCTGTGGAGTCTGGATCTGTGGTTGCGAGTCACCTGCTGCCCCCGTGTTCCTGCTCGACACCCTCTGCTACAACTATTGTTACTAGTCCTATTGTTATTATTGTTATTATAATCATTAACATTACGATTATTATCATTAACACTACTATAAATATCTGTACCATTTTCATTTAATCTATAGCAACATCACCTTTACTGTCTGTACCTCTGTGTGTATATTGTGTAGGCTCCCTCCCTCCCCTCTCTCTCTCCTTCCATCCCTCTCTCTCTTTCTCTCTGTTCCTCTCTTGCACTCTCTCTCTCTCCTTCAACCCCAACCGGCAGATGGCCGCCCACCCTGAGCCATGGTTCTGCTCGAGGTTTCTGCCTCTTAAAAGGAAGTTTTTCCTTGCCACTGTCTTGGTGGGAACTGTTGGGCTTCTGTAAATAACATCATAGAGTACGGTCTAGACCTGCTCTTTTATGAAAAGCGCTGTGAGATAACTGTTGTTGTGATTTGGTGCTATATAAATAAAATTGAATTGAAATTGAATTAAATTGAAAAGATGAAATTGTTATGTTGCAGAATTAACAATTAGGGGCACAGTTTATAATTACGAACAATTAAGATAGCCTGTTCTACAATGGGGAAATAGCTGGTAACAGGTTAACAAAGTATTTCTGGCTGATAGGTCCCTTTTTTGTGTATTTCATTATAGATAAGTAGTTTGAGTTACTGTGTATAACTTTGGTTGTGTTTATGTGTAATTTTGGTATGAATTACTGTAAACAGGCTGTATTAAAAAAAAATAAAAAATCTGGACCTCACTAATTTCAAAACCTGGCCCTGGCTGTAACATAACAAAATGTGGAAAAAGTGAAGCTCTGCGAATACTTTCGAGATGCACTGTAAACCATCAACTTGCCTATTAGACCCCATTCCAACTAGGCTGCTTAAAAAGAAGTTTTACCCTAAGTCAGCACTTTTTTACTAGATATGATCAATCTGTCTTTATTAAGAGGCCATGTACCACAGTACTTTAAAGTAGCCACTCTCTCTAGCTCTCCGCTCAGCTACTCAATCCCCCACTGCCTGTTCTCCTGCCTTGCACAGTTCACAGTTGCACAAGTCCCTCCCTCAGCTCTCCCACAACCAGACTCTTCAGCACTATTATACTAGAATGCCAATAAATTATTTTGTGCCTCATCCCTTGTGTCAGTCTCTCTGTCCTGCAGCTGTTCTCACAGCTATCATGTGTTACAACAAAAATGTCAAATTAGCTTCTAATTGCATCAGACAAAAAACATTTAATTGGCATTAAAGGAACCGCTCTAAGCTGGTTTCAACAGTTTGTACATGTTAACAATGCACGCCAAAGTTAGTTACGGAGTTCCACAAGGTTCTGTCCTTGAACCAATCCTATTCACCTTATATATGCTTCCTTTAGGC